CCTCATTAAGAAAAACTCATCATTCAAAGATGGAGCCAATCATATTTTTCAAATGGTTACATACTCCCGATTTTTGCCTGATAAGCAAAGATCTATTGTGAATTCAGTGATCGAGAGAAAGGCTTTTTTTGCTCACCCTGAAAACTTACTTGTTACCATGCTATTCGACGACAGAGAGCATATTCGAGAGCTTGCAGCTCGCAAAATATTAAAGGCAAGAGAAGCAGAAATAAGCAATACTCGCAGGGTATTTAAAGTACCAAAACTTAACTTCGATGCGCGATATTTCATCGATTTGATATTTTGGCAAGAGTGTGAGATGATTTTGCGACAGATGTCCGACGACGAACTGAGAATTAAGGCTAAAGAACAAAGCTTCGATGTTATTGATTTCCCCTGTCATACACAATCAGTGGAAAGATGTGTAAAGCTAGTGACGGAGGCTTCTCTAAGTGTCACGGACGCTACAGCTCGGGATGGTTTAATCAGAAACAGATTAAAATCTCTGTCCGTGTGGTGACGGATTAAGAATACAGAGTGTCACCACCCCTATTTATTCCGTGGGTGTCGTAAGAGGCGACTAAGGAAGCAAACTACGCAGGACTACAGCACTACTGAGAGAAGGAATACTTGAAACAAACCCTATACCAACCCGTCTGGCCAGCGTGGTATAGTATGCCAAAACCTCCTTTCTAAGGAGAGGCCTATGTTCAGCAGTGGACTAGTAAAGGCTGTTGATGTGATGTGATGTGACTAATTATAAGTATTTAAACTTTACTGAACATTACCTTATGTCTTTGTAGTACCTATAAATTTGATTAAAACCTTTAAAACATTATTTTTGTATCATTTATAGTTTATGTTCGAAACCTCTAAAAATGGCAAATTTGAAAAACTTCTAGGATCGGTAGAGGCCTAAAGATGACAAATATTTAATTAAATTTTGTTATATTTGTAATCTATTCACAAAAACGCAACTTTTGACACCTCTTGCGTAGCCGTCGCTTTAAAAAAAAAATCCCATACATTGACGGGACACCCTGCTGTAGGTATGTCTAGCCCAACTGTAAGTTTTAGCTTGGTAGACGTGGTTCTAGACATATAGATGGATGGATCTGTCGTGAAAATAAGCCCTGAAGATGTCCCGCAGGTAGGGGAGCAACAGGAGATATACCAATGCCTTCCTAATCATCTACCACGGGAGGAGATTCAAAGTGTTGACTATGTCAAAACAAATGGTCGATATTACTCTCGCCGATTCCGACAGACAACCTCTTCCTTTCTTCAACGGTAATACAAGAAATTAACACAGGATTTACTGCATTAACTGAATATTAAAACAATTTTGGATTCTTGTACGACATAGTTTAGAATCTTTACTAAATAATGAGCTTTTTAAGCGTTGTAACCATTTAGGTGTTGTACTTCAAGATGAAGAAACCAAGGACATAGAATTTTATTATAGAGACGTATCTGACGTACCTGTAACTACAGCTTTCGCAGAAAGAAGTATTTCTAAGTTAAAAATGATTGAAAACTACTTCACATCATATCAACAGCCTGTAATTGTCCACTGCTGAACATAGACCTCTCCTTAGAAATGAGGGTTTGGCCTACTATACCACGCTCGCCAGACGGGTTGGTATAGGGTTTGTTTCAAGTTTTCCTTCGCTTTGCAGTGTTGTTGTCTTAGTTAGTTTGCTCCCACAAGTCTACCACAGGACTTCAGTAAGGCAAAAAGACGAAGAAAAGGAGCCTCGTTGATGCGACTTTGCCCACGTCTATATTATTCTACGCTACGCCTCTGGCCTTTTTGATAAACGAGATGTGCATCAACACGCGCAAGTGGAAAAATAGACTCGGACTAGAAGCTAATTTAATTTGTATAGCAACGCAAGTCTTAGGCCTTTGCTGATAGTAATTTTGAAGCAGAAAAATAAAATAAAATCATTTATACCTACTCGAGGACGTTACTGGCTCTTTTTAACCGACTTCAAAAAAAGGAGGAGGTTCTCAATTCGACTGTACTTTTTTTTTTTTTTTTCTTTTTTTTTTTTTTCCCTCAAATTTTGTAGGCATATACACTGTTTATCAGAAATTATCTTAATCTAAGTAGATTTTTGCATCTAATGGTCACCATCTGATGTTGCTGAGCTGATGATGAAGCTGTTGATGAATGGTTTAGGAGTATGGGATCTCTGTAACAAAATTATGTAATACCATCGAATTTGAATGTGTTTGAGTCTAATTAATAAGAACTCCGATCCTATGTGATATTCAGGGTCTGATGATGGAGACGGTAAATAGCCATGGGAACTCTGTAATAAAATAAAGCAATTCCGCCGTGTTTGTGCTCATTTGATTCGTCTCGACTAGGAGCTTCATGCTAGTCGATTTTTAACCAACATCAAAAAAGGAGGGTTTTTGATTCGACAGTATGTTTTCTTTTTGACCGACTTCCAAAACACAAAAGAGGAGGTTCTCAATTCGTCTGTATTTTTTTTTATGTATGTTTGTTACGCGATTTCTTCGTCAATTGTGGACCGATTTTCAAAATTCTTTTTGTAATCGAAAGGGTATGCTCCCGAATTGGTCCCATTACCACCAATCCAGGATCTGATAATGGGATCCTAGAGAAATCGAGTGAAACCCTCACAATTATTGGGAATTTGACAACGTGTTTTAGCTACGAGTATTTCTTTAGCCAAACAAACCATGGCAACTGTCAGAGACTGCGCGATGTGATGCGCAGAGAACTTGCAGTATTTATGTCACCACAGTAATTTTCGTTGTATTAAGAAGAAAAGGTTGAAATTTTGTATTCTATCTTGTTAAAATAATTCGGATAGACGTTTTGTTGCTATGGATGGCATCGCATTTCGTTTGTAAGTAATTTTATACTTAATTTATTAAAATAGTTCTGGAAAAAACTCTTAAATTTTGGGTGGGTCAACTAGGTTAATTTCAAACATACTAGTATTAACCCTTCTAGTTGGAACTCCTTCTATAAAATATTGAGCATATTTGTTGAGTAGTCTCACTAAAGCTTCCCTATCTTCACCTTCGAGATCAGTGTCAATTGAATCGGAAGTTATTTTGTTCGGTTGCAACTCACAAGAATTTGACTGTTTCTTAGAAAAGAATTTAAGCTGATCTTGATCAGTTTGGACGCCAATGTCATTTTCATATCCTACACTAAAAATGGTAAAATAAACCCTTTTTAAAAAAAAAGGTGAACCGACTTCAAAAAACACCGACAAAGAGCACTAAAAATTAAAAAATAATTACAAATCTAAGTAAAAAACTATAATAAGTACCCTCAATGTAACAGGTAACATTATAATACCAATAGTCCCTTCTAGTCTGTTTGAAGTCGGTGCCAAGCTCGATGTACAATAAGTAATACTGGTCTATGTCAGCTTTATATTAGCACAATGAAAAATTAAGAATTCAAAATAATTCTAATGAAACATCGAAGATTTTGTTAATTAATAAAGACCAACCAGATCAATTACGTGCGCAAACTTATCAACTACTTATTAAAGAATTCAAAATAATAATATAATTGGAGATGTGCGTCCACTTTAGCTCGTTCATCATGTTTTGCGCAGCATGAAGACTGTTGCAGCTGCCGCGCTACATTCTACCATGCCTATCAAGCACCTATTTGGCTTGGCACCGACTTCAAACTGACTAGAAGGGACTATTGGTATTATAATGTTACCTGTTACATTGAGGGTACTTATTATAGTTTTTTACTTAGATTTGTAATTATTTTTTAATTTTTAGTGCTCTTTGTCGGTGTTTTTTGAAGTCGGTTCACCTTTTTTTTTAAAAAGGGTTTTTAATAAATTAAGGACTTCATTGATGATAAGTTAACATAAAATCCTAAAAGAAAGGATGGTAACAAAAAGGGAAAACAATTAGAATAAACGATCAAAAATTTTATTTTTAGAAAAAGATTATTATAATCAATATAGGTACTGGACTCAACCCTAATTTATACATCAGATAATACAGAATTTGTAAACCTTAACTTTAAACAAAGGCCATATCTTAAGTTTTGGACAATAAGCCATCATCCTAGCTTTTCACTGTTTTATCGCTATCTACGAACCCCTATTCAATGCAGCGAACGCTGTTTCTAGTCCTTTAATTTTGCATTTTGTAACTATTGACGTATTGTTACAAAATGAGTAAATTATAAAATCTTGTTCAAGTCAGTTTCAATTTTCATTATGATTTGGAAAGAAGACAAAATTATTTTAACCGCATCTTTTTTTGCTTTTTTTTCTTTAGTTGCAGATTCATTAATTAGCAATCAAATTCCTAGTCGATCAATCACATTAGCGATGTATACTTTTGTACTATGTATACAAAAAAATTATACACTCCATATCAGTAGGTACTTAAGAGGTCTACCATGGAACTGTTTTAACTTCTTACTACTTGAAAGGTAGGTACAACGTTGTTTTATATCGTCTGTTTAGGTGTAGTAGTCAAATTTATAGAATCCAAAAATTACTCCAGGTGGTAGAAATTACGTCATCATCATTATCAACAGCCTTTATTAGTCCACTCCTGGACTAGTAAAGGCAACTGCTACTATATATACGCTGGCTGAGTCGGTTTTGTTTGTGTAGTTTACTCCTTAGTCGGCTTTTACGACACCTACGGGGTAAATAGGGGTGGTGACACTCTGTATTTTTAATTTACGTAGTTACTTAAAATTACGTGGTTTTACTTAAATTATATGTAGTTGGCAAAATGTGGATGTCGTTATATGTATATACACTACATACACCTCTGTTTACCCTTTCGGGGCATTAGAAGTGAGTCTCTGTACCTAGGTACGCCAAGCTTAATAAAGCCAAATGCTTTGCACATATTGTTTATTTGGAAGAAAGCTACACCTAACAATCAACATATTTGCAAAGGCGAAAATGTCTGATGGTATATATTATTGAAACTAATACGAAAGTAGTTATGTAGACAGTTCATCATATAAACACGTCAGTCGTAAAGTTTGATTGTTTAAGCTCTGCATTCGGCTCTGCATTGTTTAAGCTATGCAATAAGTTTCGCCGAATAAGTTTCTGTAAGGGACTTTGTGTTTGCACAAGAACTGTGTAACATAGGACTAGCCTCCCTTCTTCGTTCCTGATCCGCCATCTTAGAAAACCGCGTTGATTCTGCAAACACACAGAAACATATGTTTATTTAATAACATCTCGTTTAACAGTATGAAATTTGAAGGGTACTGTACGCAAAGGCTGCCAAAGGATAGTAGTAAAATAAAGTACAATTTTCGGACTCGCACTCTGTCGAATTTAGTTTTGTATTTTCAGGTTATTAAGTAGATAGATAGATAGATACTTAGATAGCTCTTTATTTGCACAATAAATTACAGAGTTACAAGAAAGGAACACAGCGATCAAATATCGAGTGTACAAAGGGCGGCCTTATTGCTAAATGCAATTTCTTCCAGGCAACCTTAGGATGGATCAAAAGTTGCAGAGAGACAGTAGTAGTTGAATATCTGCATTTGTGAACCTACTATTTGTTTATTATTATCTACTATACATATTACATATACTACACATATTATATTATCTACAAACATTTACAATTTTTATACTTACATCTACAATGCATATCACAATAAATAAACCTACACATATAAAAGTACCCACATCCTTTACCAGCAGATATACATATACACATACATATATATATATATATACGCATTCTTAAATGAATAAACATATAGAAAAGAGAAACAGTTTCATTACACCCTCAAGCGTGATGGACTCAATTAAGGTGAATAAAATTCCTGTACCATTTTCTTGAATCTATTTAGTATATCTAATCTATAGTAATTTATTGTTGGTCTCCGTTTAGCGAACATTTTACCGAGCAATTCTTGTATATATATATATATATATATAATCTGAATCTCGGAAACGGCTCCAACAATTTGCATGAAATTTAGTATGCAGAGGGTTTCGGGGCGATTTATCGATCTAGCTAGATTTCGTTTGTAGAAAATTTACCAAAAAAAAAAATACCGGTCATCCAGTGTACTAGACAAAAATGGAAAATGTCCTTACCATCAGTGATTAAGTTCATAATACAGGTTTTATTAAATCAGATTATATAATTGTAATATTTCATATTTTTTTTAAGTTATTTATTTGCAACAAAACTCGCGGTATATCAAAAGTAATTGAAAAACTATGTCTGATAGGTTACTTAGTGTTTAAGTTCTGTTTTAGTAAGAAATATCTGCAGACAGGAAGAAATGATCAAGCAGAGGAACTAGATTTTGTTGCGTTCTCCCCGTATAGATAACACCTATCGTGCTTTATTTCAGGGAGCTGACTTTGGCGTAGGCAAAAACAATAATACAAGATTTAATGTTATAAATATATTCTTATCAGATCTTTAAAGCTACTAGCTTACAAAAACAAAACCGATTAAAATTGGGTTTTTCTAATTCCAGGCGATAAGCTGCTTTCGTTTGTGACGCGAATAGCAATGTATCAAACGACCGAATTTAACTTACGTTATAATAAAAATGTATCATAATTAGTCATTCAATCTTTGACATTGACATTCGTATCTTGATAACGAATAGTGTTTCCGTAGCACAGAATAAAAAAAACATCCGCATACTAGTTATCCTCGTCGAGAAGCTATTATTAAGGGATCAGAAATAACTGGATAAGTACTTATTTTATATTTGCAATCTTATACATATTATATTTGATACTTAGCTTTCTGGGTGGCATTATTTACTTTAAAAACTTATTTTCTAAATATAGTTGGTTACAATGGGAACAGTCTGTGACCCCAGTTTCCCCATAACTATCATCAGACCTGCCGTCTTGTACGGTTCTGAAAGTTGGCCTATTAAGAGAACAAATGAGAGACGGTTGAACGTAGCCGAAATTTGAATGCTGAGATGGATGTATGGTGTGACTCGGATGGACAAGGTTAGGAATGAGTATATACGAGGGAGTCTGAAAGTAGCGAAACTGGATGAAAAGTTAAGAAGTAATAGATTATCTTGGTATGGACATATCATGCGGAGGGATGAGGAAAAAAGTGAGGTATGGGATGCGAGAGATACAAAAGAAGAGAAAGACCAAAGAAAAAGTGGATGGACTGTGTAAGTGAGAAAATGGCTAGGAAGGGAGTAAACAGTGAGATGACGAATGATAGAGTAGAATGGAAGAATCGTACTTACTGCGCCGACCCCAAATAAAATTGGAATAAGGGTAGGCAGATGACGATAAGTTACAAATTGTTTCTACTGTACTGTACTGTCTAAATAAATTGAGGAAGATTTGAATAAAACATTAGGTAGATCCTCAAACAAACATGTTGATAATTTATTGTACATGACCCGATAGATTTTATACTCTTCACTACAAAATATTTTGATTTTTTGCAGTTCGATAGAATTTTACGAAGTTCCTTTGTAACGGTTACGAATCAGAACCTAAAAAAATATGAATTATTCGTCATTCGAATCAAATTTAAATTATCTGCCTATAAAAACTCTAGATATTAACAACACAGTAAGTAAAGTACGAGTAGTCAATTAGATCACGTTTCTTCTAACATACGATCCCACCACAAAAACATTTTTTTTTTAATCAATCACTTTTGCATAAATCGGTGAGCGAGTTTTTATTTATGTTCTGATGAACATTCTATGTTTTTTTCACCTCGACTTGTTTATTTAGTAAGAAGGTGACAGGATCAATGGCCTCAATAACGAGGTCTTTTACTTTTATCATCATACAAATATCAAGAAATTTGGCATTAGGTGTATTTACTTTTTGTGACCGTGACTTTAAAGGTTCAATTGCGAGACGAGCTGCAAAACTAAAACTGGCATAGGGAAAGCGTTAAATGTACTGTCATGTAAATATTTTTGATATACGTGTGATGTCTGTGGTTAGGAAGAGTCTGTAGGTAAGAAGTATTAAACAAGAGCTATATTTTATTTTAGCTTTGCCCCGCGGCTTTGTTCGTGTTTAAGTTGATTTAGGGGATACATACTTATGTCGAATTCCAGATTATAATCTATCTCTCCAAATTGCTTCCAATTCCGTTTGGGGGGTTCTAGCATGATGAAATAACTTAAATAGATCAAACTATTCTGTACATCTATCCAAACATTCAGATTTAAAATAAATATATATGTATATATATATACCTCCTATATATATAAGTATATATAGGAGAGGAAACAGTCAATTTTATTACCAATTGTACTCTGGTCGGCACTGACATAATGCTAGTAAAGGATGTAAATGCACCCATTTCCACTGGACAGTCTTCGATTTCACAGCGTTCTGCAAATAAACATTAGTTCGATATATTAATCGTTTATTACTTTAAATGGACGTGTGTGTAAAGTTGAAAAGTTTCTCGTGTGGCGGTCAAACTGTACGTGTCTAGCTCAAGGCTGGCATGGCGACAAAAAAATGAAATGAAGTTCAATATGCAATGAACGGCGAAGATGATTAGAGGCTTGTTTCCGAATAACTGGCCCCCCCGACGGGGAAGTAGGGGGTTAAAAATGACTAAAAAACCTATAAATTTGTGTAATACTTGGACGATCTCAGGGTTTTTTTTAAATAACCTAAATATAATGAAAAAATCTATTTAAAAAACCTGTTACAGCATCACAACCCAATTTAAAGCCTTTAAATCTAAATGAAATCCGATTGACTTTGACGAACACATTTTCACACACAGGCGCAGGCCTCCTTTATGTGTATAATTGTTATTTATTATTTTTTACTTACTTAATTGTAAGCCATCAAATCATATACCTAAGTGTCTACTAAGTTATCGATAAAAAACATACGATATATTTCTGTGTATAGAACATGTAATATGATGTCATAGTTTTTGCAAGTTTTTGCAAGTTTTTGCAATCACTCAGTATACCTACAAGAAAAATAAATGTTGAACATTGATCTGCTACATAACTATAGGTAATATGATAAAGGACAATATCACAACACATCATCCTTTAATAGTCCTCTGCTGGACATAGGCTTCTCCTTGGAAAGGATGTTTTGGCCTACTATACCACGCTGGCCCAACTGGTTGGTATAGGGTTTATGTCAAGTTTTCCTTCTCTTTGCAGTGCTGTTGTCCTGCGTAATTTGCTCCCTTAGTCGGCACTTACCACATCCACAGGATGAATATAGGTGGTTACACTTCGTATTCTTAATCCCTCACCACACGGAAATGAAAAAATATGTATATTCAGTCAAAAAAGTATCGGGAATGGATGACTTGTTTATGGTTCCAAATTCAAAAATTTTGTTTATTTTTTGTTGTTGTGAGATTGGCAATACTGTTTTCCATTTTGGCGAGGAGTTCGAGTTGCATCTGTTATTTATATTAAATCCAGTGCTGTTGTTAGTTGTATCATATCTAGTGTATATTGCGAATTTCATAATGGACAAAAACATCGAACAAAGAGTTTGTCTTAAATTTTGCATCGCCAATCGAATTTCGTGTTCGGAGTCACTGAAAATGTTACAGAAGACTTACGATGAATCGACTTTTTTAAAAACACGTGCTTATTAGTGGTACAAAGCGTTCAAAAGTGGTCGAGATGTGATGGAAGATTTGCATCGCTCTGGTAGGCCATCAACGTCTGCAACTGAAGTTAACATCGCAAAAGTGAAGGAAATAGTGACTGCAAATCCTCATTAAACTTTGAGAGAGATAGTCGCCGAATTTTCTGTATCTCAAGAGTCGATTCGTACCATTTTAACTAAAAGGTATGAAACCTGTTATAGCTCGGCTAGTCCCAAAAGACCTGAATTTTCTCTAAAAACTCAATCGCATGAGAGTCGCTGAGGACATGCTAGAACGAGTCAATGCCGACCCAACATTCATGAAACGCATTGTTACTGGTGACGAGACGTGGGTTTACGAGTTTGACATGCAAACTAGTCAACAAACTTCGGAGTGGTGCCTTCCAACTGAACCGAAACTGAAAAAACCACCCCACAGTCGATCAAAAGCCAAAGTCATGTTGGCTGTTTTCTTTGACTATCGCGGTGTTGTGCACTCGGAATTCAATTCTTGCCCGAAGGTCAAACGGGAAATTAAGAATATTATTTGAACGTTATGCGGCATTTAAGAGAGCAAATTCGACGAAAAAGGCGATTTGTGGAAAGAAAAATCTTGGATTTTGCACCACGATAATGCGCCTTCGCACAAGGCCATAATTGTGAACGAATTTTTGACGAAACACAACAAATTACCACTTCGTGGTACCCGTTTTCAATCGGTAGAAGACATAAAGGAGAATTCGCGGCGAAAACTGAACTCAATTCCGGAAACAGCGTTTAAAAAGTATTTTGATGATTGGATTATTCGTTGGCGTAAGTGTATCGTTTCTGAAGGAGCATACTTTGAAGGTGTTAAAATAAATATGGATGAATAATAAACATTTTGTGTATTATTGATCTTTTCCCGGTACTTTCTTGACAGAGTAGTTCAATATATTTACATTCAATGCAATTCCATCTAAAAATAAAGTATGTAATTGCAAAAACAATGATATAATAAAAACTACGAAATACCCATAGCTGCCATCTGTAATTAGAGGACTTTTTTGTTATACTCATAAAACATTACCTATTTCACATATTGCTGCTTAAATACAAGTAAACAATATTTTTTATGAAATTTATTATGGAATCAATGATAGATCACGGCCATAAAATATATTTTTACTTTAAATCTGTGGTGTGCTGTCAAGTTATTCCTAATTGAAATGTCTGGGACTCGATATTGTAAACTATAAATTGTGAAACAAGGATTATTATTCTTACGCTATGAGGTAATCATATCCACAGTAGGTAAGACAAGAGGTAATTTGAGTCTTTAGCTTTCCTGAGAACGTAAGCCTTTAATATTGTCCAGACAATTATTTTTTTGTATATTTTGTGTTCAAATGTAGCCGTGTTAGTTTATGGCTACATTCTTTATTAGGTTTTAGGGAGCACAGCCTTTAAAAGAAAGGAAACTCGAGCCAATAATGGAAATAAGTAAAGTTACAAAATTTAAGGGACACAAGTTAAACGAGACTACTAACCAGTATTTATAGTTAAAAGTGATTCAAATAGGTATTTACGTACTTATTAGTTTTTCTCAATAATTTTTTTGACACATTTTACCGGTTTTCATAAGAAATAAGAGCGAAAATATCTGAAAATCGAAATGGTAACGGATACTTTTTTCATAATTCTTCTTAAAATTGAATACCAAAGACAAGTACTTTAAATGTTAAAGGCTAGTGTACCATTTCCATATCCGAGAGTCTTAATAAAAGCAGTTTGATGGGACTAATCCCGCGCACACGCCCACCACTGTAACTCCTGTACACCAGGATCCACAGCAGTGACCCACGAACACACCGAGTTATGACACTCGGGAAGTCCCAGGAAGAAATTAAACTGTCTTGGAACCCGCAACGAAATTAATCAGAAGAAAATTGGAGGAGTTGGAAATACAGTAAATCCACTTCCCTCCTTAGCAAAGCGGGAGACAAAATGAAGTAAAATGGGCATACACCCTTTTAAACAGGGAAGCACCACGGCCACGAAATATTACGGGTCCTACGTGAGCTATATTTTATTTCTATAATATGTATGGCAGAATCGCCTAAACGCACGGAAATTCACCCTAGTTGACACAAGATCCCCATAGTATACCGCCCCAGATGTCACCTGTAAGGTATTCAGCATTATATTACGTTCATTATACCAAAGACTACATTCCCAGATGATATGATGAGCAGACTGTTCATAGTGAGAGTTAGGTGTTGAGCATTGACACAATGGTGACTCGACTAATTTAAATGAATAAAGCAGTTCCCGGATCCCTCCTATTACAGGCGCAGAGCGGCACACCGTGTGGTTTTAGTCGGTCCGATTCCGAAACACCACCCCGCCGCAAACCCCGGTGGGGTGGCGGCCCGAGGGAGTTTCCACACGTATAAAAAAAAGGCATATCATAGATATAAGTAACTATAATTTTTATTAAATTTATTTTGCTAACTATTTGATAAAATAGAGATTGTTGCTATTGTGTATGTTTATTTATGACTTTAGAGTCTACATAAAAAAAGATTTCAAACAATATTTTTTATGAAATGAAGATATTTTGAGTTTGATACTGGGGATACGACCCCTTATTTCCGTACATTCGTCTGTGTGTTCTATGAAAATCAAATAATGTTCAACATAAGATTTAGGTGACTCACCTGGAGTGACATTGGTAGGGAGGTATAAATGGTTTATATCTATCACGACATTCTGATCCAGATTGCGTGACATGAAATCTGTAATAAAACAAACATATAATATCACTCTTTGTACTTCTACTTAAGAATATGATAAACCCGAAATGTTTTTTCTAGAATTAAATTAATAACGCTTACGATACTATTTATCTTCGAGAACATTTTTGTAATCGCTGTCAGTATTAATTACTTAATAGATTTAACGTATTACTAAACTACATCGTCACTCATATTTATGTACGTCAATGTAGTGTGTAGTCATTCTGGAGGTTATCTACACAACGCTAAATGTGTGTGTACTATAGACTTTTGTACCATGACAGGACAAAATATACACTGGACGCCTATAGTTTTGTATAGCCGTTTCTTACATATTTTTTTAACTCTATAGCATATTTTGATTAAAAATTTTTGCTGTTTGCACTTCTTTTATTTTGAAATCAAATTTTTGTTTTGCCTCATCAATTTTCAGACCCTTTGCATCAAAATTTGCGGTAAACTGAGACGTTCTTCATGAATCATACTTATCTGGAAATCGAAGCCTAAGGGGGAGACTCACTTTAATAGATAAATTTAACAAAAGTTGTTAAGGGACACAATCAAAAATTAAAATCTATCTCTGTTTAAGAATACTTACATCCACCCGCAGAAAACTGCAAATTCACCTTAACGTCTTCTCCCACCGTAACATAGCACGGTGGTCTCATGGTACATCCCTCGATATTCACTGTTCTCAGATCGTATGCAGAACCTGCAATAATCCACATATATGAAATTATTCACGTAGGTAAACCTCATATTTTAATGTATCAAACGTCGTATACGTATTTACGTATTACACCGCAATTAGAGAAGATGCCATTTCAAGAAATCATTTGTTTCAGAATAGTTTTGCCCGCGTAATAATAATAAGCCTCTTTATTTTCAACAACCTTACAAAACATGTGTTTCTTAAAAACTACTTAGTACCTGGATGACCTAGCTTTCATCGGTATTTTTTTTGGTAAATTTTCTATATATATATATATAAGAATTGCTCGTTTAAATTTATTAGATTTATATACCTAGATTATTTTATTCTGTTATTGGAACACCACTTTGGGTATAGACCTGAAATGAATTGAAATGTAATTTACATTGATTCCATATGACGGCCAATGTAGATTAGCGAAGACAGACTGTAGTACCGCTATAAAGAGCTTAGGCGACAGAGGATCACTTGTGTTATATCAACTTTCTCAAAGGTGGTTTCACGCTGCTTGTGAAAACAAGCTTCGAGAGGTGTCAGTTTTCTTTTCATACAGTGTTTTGTAAAAGTCTGTAGCACAATTCATTATATCATCTCTAGATTTCGGCTCATTAGTGTTTTTTTTTTTCAGATTATGGATCCAGTTGTTATGTGTTGTCAATTGCTTGTCTGCTCTTCTGGAACTTCTATATTTTTGTAGGTTGTCCTCTGTTAATTGGTTTCTATAATTTTGGTAATCTCTTTTGATTGCTTTGCTTGTTGTTTTGTATAAAATTTCCTTTTTCATTTCTTTAGTTTTTACTAGTTCAAACTCAAATTACAAATAGATTTAAATGTTGCTCTGCTTTTCTTTGCTCGCGTAATGTACCTAATTTAGTTGCATTTAAACAATACGTAGTGAGTTTTATTCATGTTAATCCTACCCACCAACTGATTTCGAATGTAGTTAACCGATTGGGTAATCTTTTGGCAGCACCAGAATATCTATAACTTCGTTTCTTTATGTTTAGTTTTGCCGTAGTAGTCCTAATAATTTTCAAAGTCAACTTTTTTAATATCAATGCAATCAGATGAAAGGCGTCTTGTGACACTACATTGTTGTTGATGTATGCTAATAAGTACGTTGAATGTTATGGATGGATGATGCCCAAAAGTTAGTTTGAAATTGGTGCCTGAAACTTATTATTAACTTATAACTTGAAAATTGCTTGAATGAGCGCTGTAGTTCCGTGTAGTGACGGATTAAGAATACGGATGTCACTACCCCAATTCATCCCGTGGGTGTCGTAAGAGGCGACTAAGGGCCCAAAACAACGCAGGACACCAGCACTGCAAAAAGAAGGAAACCTTGATACAAACCCTATACCAACCCGTCTGGCCAGCGTGGGATAGTAGGCCAAAACCTCCTTTCTAAGGAGAGGCCTATGTCCAGCAGTGGACTGTTAAAGGCTGTTGATGATGATGATGAGCGCTGTATGTTGAGAAATACCAAAAGAAATAGTTAAAATAACTTACTCTAACTATACCCATGTCATAACATTAACGTAAATGTTAAGTTGATGCTAATTTTAAGTTAATGCACAACACAATGTTACCTAGTTATCATCTAATACCTAATACGATAAAAACAGTCACTTGATTACAATGTAATTTGATGTACCCATCTATATTAATTCAAATAAAATTCAAATAAAATAACACCGTTAAAAAGATAGTCAGGCTTTTCTTGAACTTTATATTCTTTCATTGATCGAAAATACACATAAGTACTATGTAAAATATTATTTATTACCTGTGTCCTGTTATTAATTTCTGATGCTGGTAACATTTATTTTCACAAAACAAATACCTATTGTGATCCCAAAAATATACGAACTTAAAACAAATTTAAAATGTCACGTTGTTGTTAAATGAAATAGTCTTTACAGGTTGTACAGCCTCATTTATACTTCGAACACCTTTCTGTAATTCAAATAGTTATATCTTATTTCATTTTATTCCTCAACCATCACTGTAGAACCACCTCTAGAAATCAGGATAGCACCCAGCCGCCTCGCGTTCAAGATGAAAGTTCGAGCTCGCATTCTAGACACCCTAAAACTTTAAGGTTGTAATGCATCTGTCTTTACAACCTGAAAATTTTATATATTATTATTATGTATGTATGTAACTAGGTAAGTATTAATGGATGTGTATGTATTTAGTACGTATGTATGTTATTATATTTATCGCACTGCTTCTGTCTAACTTCTCAATAATTATCCGATTTAGGTGAAATTTGGTATAGAGATAGTTTGAGTCCTGGAAAAGGACTTTACTTATGGCTTGAGAATGGGCATACTTTTTACTAGTTAGTTAGTTTTAGTAGAAAGCTAGTTTATTATGGTTATTTTATTATAGTATAATATTCGGTTTCCTCAAAGGTGTCCGGTCTTGGTTGATAAGTGGATTCTATATATACTTATAGATATGGAATTAAATATCTATGTACAACAGAATTGTTACACCTATCTAAATGCAGTAGGGAAGACGATAGGTACTCCAAATAAACCATTTTTATCAAATCAGAGTGACAGTATAAAGAACTATAAAAAAAGGAATGGTAATAATGCGTTTAGTGTTTGAATACAATTTAAAGTGCAGTCATGACTAAAATAGCTGAAACCGTTGTAATTTTAGACTATCTTTATTTAGGGCTGCAAAATATTTTTTGGTGGTTCATTATATTTAATGCCCTTGTAATCTCACAGTGCTAGTTTTTGCTTGTATAATATTTTTATTACAATAATTCATACTAATATTGTATTTTTTTATGGAAGAGGGAGCAAACGAGCAGACTGGTCACCCGCATGAAAGCGACCACCGCCGCCCACGAACGCTTGCAACTCAGGAGTCACAAGCGCATTGCCGAAGGAAGGAACCCTTGAGGAAGGAGTAGGCTCTTTCCTTGAAGTTCGTATCGGTCCAGTAATACCGAAGACGATAACTTGTTCCACAGATTAGTAGTGTGAGACAAAAAGTGTCTCAAAAAGCGCACATTGGTGGAGTGCCAATTATCCAAGTGCTAGGGATGAAAATTTTGCCATGTGGAACGATGGTGGAAAGTTACGGCCGGTATTATTACGAATAATTCCTCGGAGTACTCTCCATGATATATACGATCGAGAGAGTGAAGCTACGTAACGCCAAAAGGATCGAGCTAGTTGGAGATCATTTGACTATCGACGATTGGAGTCGGTCTTCGTCGGATACGGTCCAGAGGGAAAAGCTGGGTACGGTCCAGAGGTACTGGGGTGCCCCTGCATAGAGATGAGAGCAGTATTCCATATGTGGCCGGACTTGCGCCTTATAAAGTTAGAGACGGTGGGCCGCAGTAACATATTGTCTCGATCTGTTCAGCACACCGAGCTTCTTCCAGGTCAATTCGAGCTTATGCTCTAAGTGACCCCGAAAATGGACTTCGCTCGATATGTCGATGCCTAGGATTCTGATGCTGGCTGAGGCAGTTAGGGAGGTGCTCTCAAACCGAGGCAAAACGACAAACGGTATTGTTTTACGGTGAACGCGCAAACCTGTGTCTTTTTTGAGTTAAAATGGACTAGATTAAGTCGACCCCAATCTGAGACCTCCGCTTAGGAAGTTTCAATTTTATAATGCTAAAGAGTTTGTTTGTTTGTTTGGTTGAACGAGCTAATCTCGGGAACTACTGGTTGAAATTGATAAAATCATTTAGAGTTGTATTGTTTATTTATCGAAGATAGCTATACGCTATATAACTTCAAGCTATCACCAATAGAAGCTGAGCATCAATGAAAAATGTTGCAAAAACTGGGAACATTTATTAATTTTGAGGGACGCGGAGGAATGGAGGAGGAGGAGCTATTCTAGTATATGCCAGACATTATCATGTACCCAGACCCTCCGTGTGGTGACAGATTAAGAATACTATCTATATCCCTACCCCTAATCATCCCGTGAGTGTCGTAAGAGCCGACTGGCGGAGCAAGCTACGTAGGACAACAGCACTGCAAAGAGAAGGAAAACTTGACACAAACCCTATACCAACCCGTCTGGCCAGCCTGATATAGTAGGCCAAAACCTCCTTTCTAAAGAGAGACCTATGTCCAGCAGTGGACTGCTAAAGGCTGTTGACGATGCTGATGATGATACAATTAAAAAAAATATAAAATCAAGCAATTTGATTTCTAACTATCTAATTGTTATGTATTGTCTAATTAGTCTTACTACTTACTTACTAACCTAGATTTTAAGTATGTTATGTACTAGGGTATTAAGGTTTAAAAGTCATTTTAGTTCATATTTATAAATAAATCGCAAAAAGTAACTATGGATAGATAACTACTTTGTTTACGTGATAGTAACTGATAAATGTCTATTTTTATACGATTGCAGATAATTAATTTAAAATAAGGCTAATTGCTAGTAACGTGGGTTATCATTGCTAAAGTAATTATTTATATAGAAGTGGGTTCACTTCGCTAATGGACTGGATATAATATGAACTTCGAACTCTCTCTTGATCTCAAATCGTAAGCCTTCATCATAACGCTAACTTTACCCGTAATACATATTTATTGTTACCCCAAATTTGCCCTAAATTGCCCCGATTTGACACCTTGTGCTGACTGTTGTATTTACCTACATTTCGACATATTACATTCCATTAGTGCTTCGCTACTGCACAAACGTGGTATCGGTTTGTCTCATCTATATAAATAAATAAAATCGTAAGCCTTCATCCTAACGCTAACTCTACCCGTATTACATATTTATTGTTACCCCAAATTTGCCCTAAATTGCCCCGATTTGACACCTTGTGCTGACTGTTGCATGTACCTACATTCCGACATACTACATTCCATTAGTGCTTCGCTACTGCACAAACATGGTATCGGTTTGTCTCATCTATACAAATAAATAAAATTGAAGTCTGTTTGTAATGTCAAAATAATAGGTTTTTTTCATGCTCACACGGTTATTTGGATGATACCAATGCCTAAAGAAGACTTTAAATATTTGTTGTCTGTCTGTTTGAACGGGTTATCTTTAAAACAGCTTAACCAGGTAGCTGCTTGTATAAGGAGTAATTTAGGCTATTTTTCTCTGTACTCTGTACTCTGGGGAGGACCCGGACCATTTGATTTCAGGTCCACCCAGATCGACGCCGCACCTAACTAGGCTCTATCCCAAGGGATTAGCCTATCAAAAAATATGGCGGACCAATTACATTTTTAGTGCGATTAGGCCGCCATCACATCCCCTACCACAGCAATTAAGCTACTGCTAGAGGTCCCCACTCTCTGGCGGCTCCTACCGCCGCCGACGTCTTCCTCGCTCGGGATTGGCCCTTTCCCGATTCCGTTCATTAATAACCAGCAGTGAACACTCCAGAAATAACTATTATCAGATTTTACGCTGTTTAATTATTAGGCGATTAGATAAGCAATATTGTTTATAATGGGACCCAATTGTCCATGGGACCCAGGTGTCAAACATTGCTACGACAATATGATGTGCCAAATAAATTCCTATTGAGTTTCTATTAATAGTATCAATGCGGAAATGAAAAAATATCTAAAAAATGGTAGCGGTAGGTAAATTGGTTACTGTAGATTAAGCTGATAACTTTATGGTTTGATATCTGATAGTACAACCATAACAAACTACTTCTAGTTATATATCTAATTACAGCAGTTTGATACTAGTGTCAAGAAAACACCCTGATGCGAATTTATAGAAGCACAATTTAAATAATTTTTTAACGGAACATGTTACTTAGGTACCTACCAGTAACTCTTTCGGTTACGAATGTATTGGTACCTGGATGGTATAACACCTTTTTAATCTATTACTATGACATTATTAACTTTCTCTGTTAATAAACACTGACGAGCTTTTTCAAAGCGATCGATATAATAATACGAGTATGTATGTCAAAATTATTCGTTTGCTTTATCGCATTACCATAAGATGAAAAATAAAACGATGCCTATTTTTCTGTAGTCAATGCTCGTATTTGAAAATTTGAAAGCACTCTGGCCTTTTAAGTTTCCCACCATTTGAAAGGAAAAGAGCGATTAACCAGTCTTGACTGTTGGATTGCGAGTTTGTCCATCATTGTTTGCAATTTTTGGCAATAGACATCTGCCATCACTGTTGCGCCATTTGGTAAGAAGCTGCGGTGTACAAGTCCGGCACTGGTCCACCAGACAGCCACAATCATCTTCCTATGGGTAATCTTTTTTTAACGCACTGATTAGGTGCTGTACTCGGGCCCACCTACTGAGACGAACGCTTCCGGTTGTCGTAACGGATCCACTTTTCTATGCCGATTCAGTGGTGCTATGCTTTCTTCGACGCGTAACTCTCGATGATGGTCGCTTAGTTCGTGTGGCACCACTTATCTAGCTTTTGTAAATTTTCGATTTGACGTAAGTGCTTTAATGTTGTTGTGACATTCAGTTAAATCCGCTTCCACTAACGCCTTCAATTCGCCGTTGTCGAGTAAGTACCTATATTTACGGCCGGTATTCTAGATCTCAAACGATTGAACCAATAATACTCGTAGAACATGTTTATGCAAGCAGTGTTAAGCCCGTACACTTCATTTTAGATTTTTTTTTCTTTATTTACAGAGCTTAGCCACAATGATGACTATGTCGCTCCATCATAGCCATTTTTTGTTCTAAACTTAACTTAAATAAAATACAAAGTATAAATATCATTAGCTGTATCCGTCAAAGGACTGACCAGGATGCTGTTACATCTTCCAATGTCCATCCACTTATCATCAAGCAGGCGTTCTCTACACGTCATTAATGTTTCGTGTTGTTTGCGCAGCTGTGTTTCCACGTAGAAACTCATATTCGAAAATTGCACGAATTTTCTTTTTATCCATGGCGCCAAAAACTAACACAATTTCACAAAAACAAAAAACTATCCAAAACCAATTACTGAATTATTGAATTTTAAATTAAAGTATCATGGCTTCCGAATAAAATTAATTTGAATTTTGAATTGCTCAAAAATCCACATATAACTTAATATGAAAATGCTGGTTTTAAAAATCTCCAACTTCATAGATAAATACCTATTAGATACCTACTTATTAATTATTCTACGAGTAGGCACAGAATCTGATCTAGTCATGACTTTAACTCATTCAAAGTACCTATGTATGATTCACATACATTTTCAAGTTAAAGCAAATAAACTATGAGCAAATAAACAAATAAAATACGATAAAGAATCTGTGAAATAATAAAAAAAAACAATCTCAGACTACATCAATAAATAATCTAATCGTTTATTTAGAAGTTAAGCCTAATTTGTACACCTGCAAACTGCCCTTCGTTAATTCAATGCATTTGTCCATGACTAAGATCGTTGGAGCAAATCGCAATTGGCGATAAAACCGCCGATTGTACCAGAAATGATTTTTTGTATATTCTTGTGATGTACATTTTAATTGTACACAGTAAAGAATATTGTATTGTTATCTAAAACAATTTACAGATGTGGATTCCGAAAACTAATAAAGCAAGATTATCACAAGCAATTGCAGGATTAAGATGCAACAAGTTAAATAGTGTACTAAATTGAAGACTGGCGTACCTGCTCAGTTAGAGTGAACAACTTAACTAAACCATTTATAGGCGAATGTGTTACTAGACTCTTATTGTGGAAGTTCGAATGTAGAAGCAAAATCAGACACGGAAAAGCGGAAGTACTTGACGCCTACTAGTTACCCATCATGATCTATACGAAATTTAAGGTCTCAAATGCTCGTAAGAATTGTAATTTCATACGTAGGTACTCTAGAACTTTCAAGGCTAGATGCATGGTTCGGATTGTCTTCGCTAAAGGACACTTAATTTTATGGCACACAACTGTACCAATGATACACATAAGCAAAAAGAATCCAATGAAATGCGTAGAAAGTGACTTTAGTAGCTAATCTCATTGAGAAGCTTTAGCTAATCTGTTTAGCTTAGTTTTATACACGTGATATCATTTTTGCCTACTACGGTGTTTCAATCATCCACATCCCTTGCGACACGTAGCAGAAAGAGTTAGGTAATTATTTCACCATTTACATTTACACCAATTTAAAGACCATATTCACAGTCCGAAAGAAATAAAACGAAACCCTTCCCGCTTTGTCTACTTCTAATCAGATAGTCAGGGTCTCGTCACCCCTGACACAGAACGGTAAGTATTTTTGATTATTTATTTTAAAGTACCAAACTTACATTTTTAATATTATATGTACTATAAAATAATATAATAATTAAAAAAAGGGATAAAAGACAAATTTATCTTACCTAATAATTATATCTCATAGAATATATAAAAATATATATCTTCTATCTCCATTAAATGAAATTAAATATATTAATAATATATGTATACCCACTTAAAGTAAAGCACACTTACCACAGTCTTGGAATAAAACCGATGCGGATACCGCAACAAAAATGGCTTGCAACAAAACACAAACTAAATACATTTCGTATTACTTGTATAAATTGACGTCCTCTTGTGTAATTATTGGTGATACACGTACAGAATGATAGTTTTACCACTAATGTACATTATTATATTTATACGTATCGCCAATGGAACCGCCCAGTGATTTTTATCGAATCTGATAACATTGACACACAGTGGTATAATTACAGTTGCACTCAACAAAAGAAGATTATTAATTATGATTACCACTTAATATTCAAATCCAAGCAATACCTACATACATATGTTCATGATAAGCTACTTCGTACCTGCAGTATTCAGTACTGAATACTTTACCGACCTAAATCGCAACTTTTCTAGCGTTCTATTGATGATGATGTTTTAGATTTTGGTTGACTTTTAATTTAGTACCTACTTTAGTTTCTACTTAGACTTTTCTTCAAAATACTTTATTTTTAAAGGACACTATCGACAGAAAAGCGCAACAAATAGCTGTCGTTGACCCCACAAACATAAATATTTACTAGTTGACTATAGTTGACGTTACTAAATGTGCAGCGTGGATCCACCGTTGTGGACACGATTATAGACTTGTGGTTAGATCTATAAAAAAATCTTATACAACTGGCAACTCTCCCGGTCAACGTAGCTACGCCAGAGAGACCGTATTCTACTCTGCGCAGAGTAAAATCTAGGCTGCGTGCCTCAGTAACACGGGATTTTTTTTTCGAGATAAGTCTCCTCACAAAGATGTGTGAATGAGTAAGGTTACCGGAGCCCAAAACTCCCTTCCACCCCTTGATTCTGGGGTAGGGGGCAGTTTGGTCACTTTTTTATAAGGCGAGCTAAGTCTGCAGGGGTTCTCGGTGGCCTCCTTGTCAGGGTATTGCAGCAATAGATTCACTTGTGGCGGAATACCGTAGGATTTTAGTCGACTCCAGTCCGACGTACCACTTCACGTACATTAGTTTTGTAATAACTTTTTTTTGTAGTGTTGCTTATGTGAATCTTTTGTTAGGACTCTACAAAATAAAATACATCTCCCGTTCACGGCCAGACATGGTCAAAAGCTTTGTGACGTCACATGTTAAAATTTAAAACATTAAAACGCGAAATTTATAGGTGAATAAAAAACTAAAGTAGTCGTAGGAAATGGTGACAACAAGGCTAATTTTGCTCCATTATTTCTATACGAGTAGCTATCAGTTAATCTCCGAGCACCATCCCATTTGAAACAAGTTCAATATAATAGTTATTGCCTTAGTGTCGAGTCATACAAATTTAAAAGATCATGCATCATATGTGATCTATATTTTTCTTTATATAAAGCCACTGATCAACACAAGCAATCGCATAAAAACAAGAGATGTTACCCATCGCAAAAATTCGTCCTCAAAGAATTGCGGCTAGACGTGGCATGACATGACGACGTCGACACAAAGGATGTTCCTGAAGTTCAAATTCAGAACAAAAATGAAGTGCCTGAAATACCAGTAGCAGCTAATATGAAGGAGTGGGTCCAAAGTCTATGGACACAAGATGATTAAATTTTGTATCTTCAATTAATATAATGAATCATTTATTGTTTCTTTTACTAGTTATTTATTTTCTCCGTTATTTAAAATATTGGACTTTATGTTGATTTTATTAAAAATTATTTAGCGAAATTAGAAAAAAAAACTGTTCCTTTCAATTTTTTATATACTTACATGCATAAAATTGAAAAATGTCACCGTCACATCAGGGAGGAGGGGATCTAAAAATGTGACAACTTGTGACAACGACGGGGGTAGGAGTTAAAAGTCTTAAAATTTATGAATGGCCCCTAAAGTGAGAACATATATACAGTGAAATTAGTCTCTAAAAATTTTTGCAATATGTAGTGGTGTGTATATTACTCAGATCTTAGAGCGCGTTTCCACTATATAGTTCTGGCCTATACAAAAATGTTTCGATATCCTAACATTACTACTTAATTTTATACTTATCCCTAGCAACACTCTGATTTTTGTTTTCAATAAAAACAAGTTTTTACTTTAAAGAAAAAGGTTTTGACTTTATAAAAAAAAAGGTGTGTGTGCGATTTACACACGATAGAAGTGAAACTTCAAAGAGGAGAGACCGATATTTAATTTTTTTTTCCTTTCATCTAGGTTTTTAAAACTCCGGGGGGTGTACGGGGGGGTCAGAATTTTGTTATTTTTGGCCTAGGACGCACCGTTTCCGAGATATTTCAATCTAAAGCAAAAAATCGTCACTTGATAGTGAAAAGTGGAAACACGCACAAAACCAGAATAAACCAGTTTGACCATACACTACTACAAACGCAAAAATTTCTCTAACCTAATTTACCTGTAACTTGCCTGTATTCCAGTTTACTTAAAAACTAAATCTCAAAATTAGTGATGAAAGTAAACACTAAAAATCCAAAAAGAAAACCCAAACAATGCATGGATCATAAAAAAACTGTTTTAAGTATTCACTCCAATGCAAGGATTTTAAAGATATTTTCTAACAATGCACAACACACAGTTATCTTAACTACGATTAGGCTGATTCACTTTTCATCAGGAATTTTGTTTCGCCTTAAATCTCACACATCTTAAATCTCTTATCTTCTGTATGGTACAGGTGTGTCCCCTGGGCTATCATCTGTCCCTGGTCACTGTACGTTATCTAATTTATTAAGGTCTTCTCGAGGGTTTTTCTCGAGATTTATTCTCGAGGTAGACGATCAGCACCTGCTATGTTGTAGAGGTGAACAGAAAGGATTGGTGCCACGCGATGCAGTGCTTTTAGAGGACTTCTGATATTGGCATCCCTAGCACGACTGGCAGCCGTGCTGGCGGCCGCTGCAGTTGAACGGCAAACACTAGACGGGCAGTTATCGATTACTGATCGATATATATTTCGCGATGCTTTCAAGATATTTCATAAGTTTTAAAGTGTCGACAAAATATATCATGTCCCTGAAGAACCGTGAAATATATTTGAGGATTTGTTAGACCCAGTTCAAATACAAGGTACTATGTCTTTCGATAATTTTTGAATTAGTAATTATGATTAGTATTGGCTTAACTATTGACTATTGGCTTGGATGACATGAATCGTCATTTCATTACATCTCCCTCTTAATCCCTCCCAAACCAAAAGTCAAACTTTCGATTATATTACTGGGGTTCCACGCCGGTGTATTGAAGTCTTCTCGTTTTCACCTGTTGCCTCGAACGAGATCAAAAAAAAAAACAAAACTGGGTTGTGACGATATAAGTCGCTTTATGATCCTTCCTAATCCTTCCCTCCCGAGCCATTTCCAACCCATATCAATCCTCCCTTTCCTATCCAAAGTACTAGAGGCGTGTGTTCATAAACAACTCTCAAAGTTTATTTATCAAAACAATATCCTCACCCCATTTCAATCAGGGTTCAGACCTGGACATAGTACAGTTACAGCTATGCTTAAAATGACCAGCAATATTATGAATGGGGTGAAAGAGGCAAAAGTTACTGTCCTAGTCCTGATTGACTTCTCCAACGCCTTTAACACGATTAACCACGATATCTTTAAATCAATCCTCACTTACTATATTGTCTCCACTGAAGCACTTGAATGGTTTTTATCTTTTCTTCGTGGAGGTCAGCAGTCGGTCTGCTTTGATGAAACATCATTAAGTTGGTGCGATCTTGGTGCTGGCGTTCCACAAGGTGGCATTTTATCACCTCTCATATTTTCGATGTTTATCAATCTCTTTACTCTTGATCTTCAATGTGCGTATTTTTTGTATGCGGGTGACCTATAAATTTATTCACAGACCAGACTCGATAATTTAGTGGAAGCAATCGATAACATTAATAAAGATTTAGAGGCAATTAAAACCAGTTCTGGTTAACCCCACCAAGTGTCAGTCAATAATCGTAGGTGGCCCCAGAATGTTATACAGATTAGACACTTCAAAATCAGGCAATCATCTACAATGGATCCATTATACCGATCTGGCCATTTGTATTGATTGATTCCAGCCTCACCTGGCAACTTTCTGACTTACATTTCCAATATATGATTGGGAATGTAAGTCAGAAACTTACTGGAGCCTTGCGATCACTGTATCGGCTTAAGAACTTCCTACCACTGTAGTGTGCGGCTCGCCTTACCTTATATGTAACTGCACACATTTATTTAGAACATTATTAAACCGATTATGGAACCGAACAGTTGTCTATAATTTACCTACGTCACATGGCGACCCTTAGCCAGCAGTTTTTTATTCATTTAAATTTTTATTGAAATTTTAAAATTATGAAGAAAGAAGGCGTATAGTTATTTAGAAGACTAGAAGATTATTGAAGAATGTAAATTGAGGAACGTTAGAAGAATGAAAATGTTGAAGAGAAATTGATTTTGAAGAAAGACGATGAAGATTACTCATAGAAGATTTTAGAGAAGACAAAAGTCAAAAGACTCTTACAGAAGAATACCATGAAAGAAGATCAAAAATAAATCTGATTCGATTATCGATCGATCTCTCTCTCGATTCTTGATATTTTTGAAGATGTTGTGTGTTGGTGCCGGGTGTCTGGAGAATGCTCAAGCCTATGATGAGAGGATGTGCAGGCTGCCGGGAGATAATAGTACGGGTCCGATGAGGAGCAGCCGGGAGTCAGTTCCAGTTCAATAGTTGAATTTCGTAATAATCAATTACACCACGTTCGACGTCATTCGTGACCTACTTACATATCCGGTGGCGGTAAGCGCATTCACCCGTATTTTTGCGATGTCAATCATTTTCTTTACGTTATTATTTTTATTTCAATAGATATGGTATTATTTTACTGTATTTTTATATTATATTAAAGGTATGTCCCAACAATTAGACGAATTGCATTCAAAGTTAAAATATTTAAAGGAATATTTAGTGAAACTTGGTCCGGATAGGCGTAAACAGGAATTAGGTTTTAAGAAGTTAGGGGAAGCTGAAAAGGAGTATAAAAAGTTGGATTATATATTGACTCAGTTGAACCAAGAAGTTACTGATCGCA